TATTATATATATAAGAAAAAGTAACACCGCGGCTGCTCCTGCTACTACTTTCCACGCTTTCCAAACGCGAGTCCCAGGAGAGAACAAACAGCAAACCGCGCTCAGGGGCATCCAAGCCCACCTAAAGCTAGGCCGCTGCTGGTGGAGCCTTGCCCTGCCTTGGTGCCCCGTTTCCCGGCTCGGCGGTCCTGCTCGGGCGGCACTTTAAAAGCCTGCTCCCAGCACCCGAGCAATTTCCCAGCAACTTTCGGCTTCCTTTTAACTCGCGGGTGCTCGCGCCTGGCCCCGAGCCGCACAGCGGAGGGGAAGCCCGGCGGCCGCCGCCGGGTCACCTCCTCCAAGCAGCCCGCCGGCCCGCCGGGTGGAACCCTTCCCGCTCCTCGGCGGGAAGACGCTCCCGCCTGCAAACTTTGCCTTTGCAAAGGGGCGGGCCAGATTGGACAGACCAACGGGCCGGATGTGGCCCGTGGGCCGTAGTTTGCCCACCCCTGGCATAAAGTCTACTTGGGGCTACAGGACTATCTATTTCCATCCTTGATGTGACCATTTTTCCCTGCCAAATGTGTTCCTTATTTGAGCCTCTATATTGCATTTTCCTAATCTCTTAACCTAGATGAAAGCTGGGGTATTTTATGGTAGGCAATTTTGGCTAGGGTAATGAAAGGAGATGTCTTAATTTAAAAATTCTAAAAAGTTTCTTTTAGGCAGAATTACCTAATATCTAAAAGACTTGTCCCTGTCTCACAGGTCAAGATCTGGTTTCAAAATCGAAGGATGAAATGGAGAAACTCCAAAGACAAAGAAGTGCTGTCAAATCGAGGTCTGCCAGAGGAAGGTCTTCAAGAGATGTATGTTTCCAGGTGTTTAAATTTTTCCTCCTCACCATGTCCACTCTGGGAAAGGCCTCAACAACAATCAAGTTCAAGGTGGCAGAATTTCCCAGAATGTGCTAGGAGACAGAATAACAGAATTAGTCTGCGGTTGCACATGAATCCAACTTTTTCTTCTAACACATTGTATTTGTATCAAGAAAGAGGCACCGTAGAGAAGGAAATCTCTTGTAAGAACAATGACAGTAAAAATGACAACAAACCATTGCTTGAAGTGAACTCAAACTAACTTTATGGGAAAACAGAGTTAGATTATATATTCCATCGTTGGTTAAAATAAAATGTAACACATTTATATTGACAGAATTAATAGTTTAAGAAATATTCAGTAATTAATCTTCCTTTATGTTCCTTCCAGCTGAAATAATATTTTTAAATCCAGTAAGAGGAAACTAGTGGTAAGTAAATTAAAGTGTAAAACAATACAAATAGATTTGGTTTTTTACAGTTATTCAGATTAAATTAGAAACTCATTATATAATTAATAATTAAATTATGGAAATAAGGACATACTGTATGACATTAGGTCTGCATAATTTTTGTTTTTCAAAAAAAATGGATCGGGGTTTGTGATATTGTAGACTTTAATATAAAAATAAAGAGATAAAATGGAGTATGATGGTCTATCTGTACAATTGCTTGGTACAGATTTCTGTATCCGGGCTTTCTAACTCTGATTTGGTGAAGATGTCAGAATTTGTCTTTAAGAGCAGGAATATGCACCTATATGACAGGATTCCCATTCATTTTTGCTAGTGTCATTGTCATCAAGAAGGATAGCTAGCGATCAAAAGCATCCGAAGGATATGTGTTGTCATGGGCATCTGCAGGGCAAAAGGACAATAACTTTATGAGAGTAAACATGCAAATTAAGCAATCTAGGTCGCTTGTGTAAGGATATCATGATGCTCATAAGGTCAACATGTTATATTCCTGATGGCTATAATTCCCATAATTAAGGCAGGATTTTCCTGGAGTGAAAAAAAGGGAAGTTGTCAGATTTAAATTCCGGTTTTGTACCTGTGTATGTTGAGTGACATAGTTTACTAAGAAGAAGAAGAAGAAGAAGAAGAAGAAGGAGAAGGAGAAGGAGAAGAACTTTATTGTCATTGTACAAGTACAACAAAACTATAAATGAACCCCAGCAACTGTTCGCAATACAATAAAACCAGAGCACTTAAAAATGGAGATAAGAAAAATAGAGTACCCACATCTCCATTTGCAATTAGAGAGTACAATATCTACAAATATACACAAAATAAATATGCTTTAGATTAGTTTTCCTTTTGTTTTGAACTGAACCAAATAGGAGGTGGCATGCAATCCAAGAAAAGGATAATAAAGTAAAAATAAATAAATAAATAAATAAATGGTGGGGAAGACTTGCATCATTCTGGGTAGTGATGATTGGTATTAAAATATAGTTTTAAAAAACTATTCAATTCAGCACTGCAACTCCAGATCAACTCCATAATGTAATAATGCTAATGTAATATCTAATTCCAAAACCATACTTCCTTTTTATTAGGCCTCATCTGGAAAATGGAATGAGTTATTTACTCACTGTCACACAAAATACTTGGAAATCGTCACTGTATATTGGCTACTGTCAGGCCTGCCTCTGTTCAAAACCCAAGAAAGAAAACCCCCAACAATGTACAGGACCTGTACACTGACTACCATGCTGACTGTATCAAAAGTAAGCCACACAACCCGCAACTCAGCTTTAACCCTCAACCACAACCCTACCTCAACCGATCCACCATCACCCAAGACTAGGCATGCATGCCCCTAACTACCTCAATTCCAACTACTGCTGGCCTTAAATGCAAACTACTCAATGCAAGAAGCCTTGTGAATAAAATACCTGAATTTTTCCTCCTACTAAATATGGTTAAATTCGACATTATATTTGTCTGTGAAACATGGCTCAATGCATCTCTCCCTGACTCCATTACCACAGTAAGAGACTATCATGTTTACCGATCAGATCGTGAAATTCGTAGAGGAGGTGGTGTTGCTATCTTCTATAAAAAGTCCTTACATCTAAAAAATATCCAAGTTACCCAGGAGCTTGCTCTTCCTGAGACCATCATCTGTGAACTATCCTTAAATATCACAATTCGATTCTTACTATGTTACAGAGCACCTGATTATGACATCGAACATGTAAACAAGCTAAATACATTACTAACATGGGCTGCATCCTGCCCATACCCTTTTATCTTTCTTGGTGATTTCAATCTACCTCATATTGACTGGACCCTAAATGATTGTACAACTGAAATCATACACACAACCTTCTACAATGCTATTACAAATCTGGGACTGGAACAACTAGTAACCAACAACACTAGACTAAACAACTGCCTCGATCTCATCTTCTGCAATAGTTTGAATTTAATTTACGGAATACAAACTAAAGAACCCTTTTCCAGCAGTGACCACAATATGATTGACTTTTGTCTCAACATACGCCCACACAAAAATCACCACAATGATGTAATCTCCAATTGTAACTTCAAAAAAGGCAACTATGATCTTATAGACAACGATCTCTCATCCCTTGATTGGCAATCTCTATTCACTGGATGCAATACTGCTGAAGACCATTACAACATATTTTTACTTGAAGTCAAAAGAGTCATCAAACTAAATGTACCAACAACAGCTCCCAAAACAAAACAAAAAAGCAGATTACCCATAACAATAAGGAAACTTCAATCCAAAAAGAGATCACTCTGGCGGAAAAACAAATCTGGTCACGTTGCCAATTTCAAAAGCCGATACAAAAATTTATGCCACCAGATAAAGACCGAATGCACCAATTATCACATTAAATAAGAGGAAAATCTTCTATGCACCAATTCCACCCGTGCTTTTTACAATTTTGTAAACAACAAACTAAAAGACTCAAGGTCCATCCCACCCCTGATAGGACCTGATGGTAAAGACTGCAACGACGACACCATTAAAGCCAACATCTTTAACACATTCTTCGGCTCAGTATTTGTAAACAGCAATGGATCATGCCCAGTATTTCCTAGCCGTACCACAGATAACAACAATGATCTAATACATATCGATTTTACAGAAGACAATGTTGAAAAAGCACTACGCAATCTAAAACCATCTCTATCTATTGGACCGGATGGAATATGTGCCTACTTCTTAAAAAAGCTATCCACTGCCATAGCCAAACCTCTAAGCATAATCTTTGAAAAATCTTTCAGGACCAGCTCCTTGCCTAACCTATGGTCACAAGCCACAGTCATCCCCATCTTCAAAAAGGGAGACCCAAGCCTAGTTGAAAATTACAGACCAATCTCCTTATGCTGCGTCACCTGTAAAGTCATGGAATCAATTATTAACCAATCAATCATCCTCCACTTAGAGACAAACAACCTACTCTCCAATAAACAATTTGGTTTCAGAAAAAAACTATCCTGTAATCTGCAACTCTTACACTGCAAAAACATATGGACGACACAACTCGACCAGGGCAAAGCAATAGACGCAATCTACATAGACTTCTGTAAAGCCTTTGATTCAGTGGTACACGACAAACTACTCCTAAAAATAAAATCCTATGGTATCTCTGGACAACTGCATAACTGGATAGAAGCATTCCTGGCAAACAGACAACAAATGGTCAAAATTGGGAGCGTCCTATCGAATTCTGTACCTGTCAATAGTGGTGTCCCCCAAGGCAGAGTTCTAGGACCAACTCTCTTCATACTCTACATAAATGACCTCTGTGATCATATTAAGAGCAATTGCGTTCTTTTCGCTGATGATGTAAAGCTGTTTAATACCACAAACAATACTGCTACCCTACAAAAAGATCTTGACTATGTATCAGAATGGTCAAACAAATGGCAACTTCAAATCTCAACAAATAAATGCTCTGTCTTACATATTGGCAAAAAAAATCAGAAAATAAAATACAAGCTGAATAGTCAAGATCTTGTTGATGACCCAAGCTCACCTCTAATGATCTACGTGCTAGAGCCCACTGCAACTACATAGTGCTAGAGCCCACTGCAACTACATAGCCAAAAAGGCATTAAGAGTTGTTAATCTAATCCTACGTAGCTTTTTCTCTGGTAATATCACACTACTAACCAGAGCATACAAAACATTTGCTAGACCAATACTCGAATACAGTTCATCAGTCTGGAACCCTCATTACGTATCTGATATTAGCACAATTGAGAAAGTCCAGAAATATTTCACAAGAAGAGTTCTCCACTCCTCTACTCGTTGTAGAATACCTTATGCCACCAGACTTGAAATTCTAGAACTAGAAAACCTTGAATTACGCCGTCTTCAGTCTGACTTAAGCATGGTATATAAAATCATACATTGCAATGTCCTACCTGTCAATGAATACTTCAGCTTCAACCATAACAACACAAGAGCACACAATAGATACAAACTCAAAGTTAACCGCACCAAACTTGATTGCAGGAAATACGACTTCAGCAATAGAGTGGTCAATGTCTGGAATACTCTACCCGACTCTGTAGTTTCTTCCCCAAACCCCAAAAACTTTAACCTTAGAAAGTCTACTATTGACCTCACCCCTTTCCTAAGAGGTCTGTAGGGGGCGTGCATAAGCGCACCAACGTGCCTACCGTCCCTGTCCTATTGTTTCTCTTATTCTTCTTTTATTTTTCTTATATGTACCCATTTCATGTATTCACAACTATGTATACACTTATACTTATTATCTTGTAAACAATTGACAAATAAAATAAATAAAATAAAAATAAATAAACTCCATGGAGATAGATAAGAGGTACTTTTACTGAGTTTGAGATGATAGAAGCGAAAGCAAGGCAAGATTTGATTCAAAACATGTGAATGTTACAGATTGAAAGTTTCCCCAAATCCCTCTCCCCAGGGTCCAGCACTGAGGGTCCAATCAACACCCAGTATGATGTTGTGTGAAGCTCATCTTCAGGTATTTCGCCCTTCTGGAGTCCTAGGATGGTTGGCCTTGACAGGGTGTAAACAACTTCACTCAGCAGCACAATTCTTGAGAGAAAATTTCCCTTTCAGTTCACATGGGACTGCATGACACCAGCTCACTTCCCCAACCCAAATGCCATGCCCCCCCGTTACTATGGCAGCCAATAGCAAGCATGTTGCAAAGTCAAACCCCATGCTGGAGATCCATCTGACAGCTACAGACTTACTCCTGTATTATACATATACTTACCGTAT